CATACTTTGCACATAATGTAGGCATTGATTTTGAATACTATTCTTATTTTTATAGAACTGTTCTGGAAGGATTTTTGACAAATATCTTCCTATGAAAATGCTCTCTTGTTATAATCCAATATTTTTCATGAAAAAAAAAAAAATCCCGTATTTGAAATACTGGAATATTTTTTGCCTTGGGAAAATAGTTTTTTGCACAAAAACCTGTTCTCTATGCCATGCAGCCTGTCTGCTCCATTTCATGAAGTGATCAACACTAGGTCCCTTCAGATAAACAAACATGGACAGAAAAATACATTTCAGTTTTGGACATGATGTGTTTGCATAATTGGCTTTCTCACACTAGTCTAACGCCACCTTTTTTTTTGGTGCTGCACAGGGCTAGCTATTCTCTGACAAAAAACATGCCACAGTCAAAGATTTAAAATGATTAGTGAAATTGCAAAGGCAGGATTTTAAATGGTATTTAACAAAACCAGGAAATATCTTCAGTTTCTCCTCTTATCCTTGGTCTAGAAATTTCCAAAGCAAGGCTAACCCCACCTGACTGAAAACTGGGATTGCCCCAAACATTCACAGGTAGCAGTGACAGTTTACAGAACACAGAGAGACTCAGAGTGTTGCATTTGGTCTAAGCCCACTGTTATGAACAAAGAAAAAAACCAAAAAAAAAAAAACCAGAAGCAGCAGTCAACAGCTGAAAGGAGCTTTGTGCAAAAGTAATGGCTAAGAATCTACACATTTTAAATATCATGTTTTCATTTCAGTTTTCCATATCTTTACTGCACCAGGACATAGTCTTTCAATAGAAGCTCCTATCCCCTCCCTCTTAATAGTGAATTAACCTTTATGAAGGATTTTACACTAGAAATTATTTCCATTTTGAAGTGGAAAAGTATCTGCAGAGTTTGCAGACATACCTCTCTTCCTAAATGCACTGCCTCTATTTTGTCATAAACCTCACAACACCAGCAAAGACTGAATATTTGATACATTAAATTTACAACATTCTATCACAGACTGTCCTTGTTCTATACATTTAAATTGCCATCTGTGAGACACAGGCAGAAGAAACAAGCAAGTTGAGAAAGTTCACTCCTAACTTTTAACAATGCTGAAAATTTGCAGTTAATTTGACTTGGAGTCAAATGGCACAGATGATTAGTGCTGAATCAATATTAATACTCTCCTAATATTGAGAAATTATTGTATTTCTCTTAATTTAAGACAGTTTTCAGACGTAGTTCAATTAAACACTTTTTTTTTTCAGTGTTCAGAATAACTTTGTAAATATGAAAAACCAGCAGCTGAGACTGATTTCTTCAATACCTACAAATTCTTATGCTTTCTCCTAATTTATTTTAGGCTTCAATTTACCATGAATGCCAAGACTTATTTATATTTACAGGGTACATATTGTACTCACAGGCATGAATAATATAATTTGTCTCATCTAATGAGTCATCATTAGCTTTTGTTTCTACCTTTCCATAAGCAGAATATTTTTAATGTATTCAACTGGAGTTATTTTTACCAGCAACTTATATAATTATTTTTAAGAAGAGCAGTCATATATCAGCCCATCACTGCTGCAGCTTATTTGCACATAAATCAAAAACTGAAAAAAACTACGTAAAGGAAACACTGCATGAAGAAAAAAAAAAAAAACCTTCTCTCTATAAAGGCAGGAATGACCAAAACTTTCAGATTCCCTTTTTTTCTTAAATGTTTGTGAAACTTTCAGAAAGATAATGCTTCTCAAGAATTCAAAACTAAGTCTAGATAATCTGGAAACCTAAAGAGAATTAAAAAGTAAGATTGGCATAAGAGACAGCTCTCCATCACAGCAAATTACACTCTCAACCCTTTCCAAAAACTTGCACCACAAACTCTGARGTGTGAAAACATCCATGTGCAGAGTGTTCCTTGGCAAAACCCTTCCAATTAATTGTTACAAAGATGCYACTTACAGRCTGACTTTTATGAAACTGGGATCCMAGCAACAGTGTGATAAATGAAAATATGTAAAACACCACTTAATCTCTGTAGAAATACTTCACTGGCAACAGACCCAGTTTGGAAACATCAGTCAATGATAAAACACTTCAATACAGAATACTTAAATTCCTCAGAAAATGAAATTATTTAGCAGAAAACAGACAAATCATAGCAGTCAACAWCCTGAATATATTCTCCCCCTTTATTTAAGTTAAAGGAACCAATTTCTGCTATTTATTCAGTTAATCTTCACCCTTTACAACTTCATTACTGAGTTACTTTTAAGGTCTGAGAAATGAGACTTAAATACACAGGACAACAGGACATTCTTCCTTTAAGCATTATGGACTGTTAAGAACCTATAATCATGAAAAGAAAAAAAAAAGAAAAAAAAAAGGGAAATGAAAACTACTTCAAGATGCTTAAAACATCCTTTGAAAGCAGAACTGTGACTGACAGTTTAATACACAAAAGTATCACCTGGCACTATCTGCAACTGCTTATCTAGTCTGGCCTCTTACTGTTCACACAGCTGCTCTCCCTTTGGCAGAGTTACCAGCACCACATTCCTGCTTTTCAGAGCACATGGTTAAAAAGTCTGTATTGAATTGAACAGAATGAGAAAGAAAAGCTTCATAGAAAAAAAAAAAAAAACCCAAAAAACCAAAAAAAACAAACCAAAAAAACCCCAGAAAGCTCAGATTTTTTTTCCAATATTTTTTTTTTTCCCAGAAGTACTCACCAATTTCAATAATGACTCCATTCTTCATCTTMAAAATAAACCTGAGGGCAAGTAAAGCTTGAATTGTGGGTGGAGAAAACAGCAGGGAAATTAAAACTCATTGCTCATGGAGCACACCAGTCTAGTGGATGCCTGCCTGTTATCACAATAACCACCTGGTCTGGAGAATAATTTCAATTATTAAGTACAAAGAACACAATGCTAGACAGAGAGAAGGTCAGTCCAAATCTTTAGACAAACCAGGTGAAGATGAACTTGAGTTCTCAAGGAATGTCAGAGAAACCAAGGAGTAACAATTTCTGGGGCCAGGACTACCAAGAATTCCCAGGTGACAGGGAAATCTGTATTTCCAAACATTGAAATATAAATCCTTATGAGTCCTGTACACTACAAGAAGTTATCTTTAAAGAGAGTTCCTTCACTATGTCTGAATATCTGTGGAGAGCTTTGTGCCCAGGGATATATCACCACAGACCAATTCATTTTCTTCCACAGCTATAGTGTTGATTTGAGGTGTAACCAAGCTAAAAAAGCTCTGGAGCTCCTGTGCTTCTCAGAATACATCAGGCTTCAACCAGACACAGTGTCAGGCATGACCTGTTTCTAAGGAGGGGCTTTGGTTGCAATCAGTGTCACTGGAAGGAAAGTGAAAGCTGAATTTCTCTTCATAATCCATCAAAATTCCAAGAGCAGGAGAAAGTAATTGACTTTCCATGAAAACTTTCTGGCCTTGCAAGCCAGGCAGTAGCACCATTAAAATGTAGAGCTGGGCTCCACAAAACCCTAATTATTATGCTTTCTGTATTTACTTGTTCACCTTGCAAATTTTTGATTTTATTATTCTATCATTATAATACAAAAAATATGCAGAGACCAAATACTCTACCAACCTCATTGTGAGTGTTTCTGACCAAGACAAGTCCCTGATTTCAAGATGGAGCAAAACCTAATCTGCCTTTCAGTGTTAAGACTGCTACAGAATCGTTTTACATTGCAAGCAAAGAAACCATATATGCATTTGTTTTCTCCTCCTCAGAGTTTATTTTGCATGTAATTTTACAGTTTATACTTCACATCATACATTTATTCCTTCTCTTGAAAAAAGGTTTGACACAGACGCTTGCCTTGCATTACATTTTGAAACCTGGAACCGGTGCCAGTAAAAAAAAAATAAAAATAAAAAAAAAAATAAAAGCCACCCTATAAAACATATTAGATCAATACAGTGTAAATATAACAGGTATTAGAAGTTGCTCATTATTCCACTACAAGGAAAAACAATCTGGGGGAAAAAAAAAAAAAAAGATAATCAGTTCCAGTTGCTAAAACAGTTCAGTATATTTTATTTAAAGTCATAGCATAACAGGAATGCTTTTATTAGCTCACAACCAAACAATGATCAAACTGGTGCAGAAGAAAATGAAGCATGATCCTATGGTACTCAACTGCAATATAACATTCTCTGTCACACAGAACATACCAGACTGGGGATGTTCACAAAGTCCTTTTGGYGAGAATTCTGCAAAAGGCTGTTTTTCATCATGCTGCATTATTCCATCCCTTATTTTGCTTAAGAAGTAAGCCACAAATAAGCATTCCCAGAACTGTGAATGGATTTTCAGTGTTGGCACCAACTCTTCAGTAGTTTACACAATGGTTCACAAAGGAAACTGGGTAAAATTATGACTTGGAAATGGTCACGGACATCTTCCTCTTTGGCTAYTTTAAAAGTTAGAAAATTCAGATTTGTACAAAAGACATTCATTTCAGAACCAATTCAAATATGTTTTTAAATAAATGGAACAAAATAAAGCATGTCTCGTTAATTTGGTATTAATTTTCCAGAATACTCTGCAATACATTTTCAAATATACAAAATCTTACTCTTTACAAAAAAGTTGTAGCTCATGAAGGAACTCACTTGAATTATCTTAGCAGCACTCCAATAATTAACTATCTTAATTTTAATCAAAAAAAMCACCTTAGTTTGATCAGTGTATTTTGAGACTGCTTCTTCACAAGAAGCAATGTTTCAAAAGTTATAAAAGTGCAAGAACATCATCATGTTCCAAGCTGAAAGGCAGCTTCTGGAAGTAGTGAAATCAGTGTTGCAAGGACCTGATGCCAGTGAAATAAATGCAGTGGGAAGAGCTGCACTTTAAGCACATCTTCCAGTGTGGTACCGTTGCATTAAGAACAAAACATGATTCTCACTGAACATTTTACTGATCTGAAAAAAAACAGTTGTGTTGTTTTTGTCCAGCTGTAGCAAGTGAGATGCACAGACAAAGTGATTTGGGTGGGAGCAAAGAACCAGCACACACAGCAGCATCAGCCRGCCACCAGACAATTGGCCTGCTGGTTTTGCTGCCCAGCATTTTTGTGCATGTTTAATTAAATAAAAATGGCAAAGTACTATTCTCTCAGAGGACCTTCTCATCCATTGGGATAAACATTCCATATTAGACTTCATTGAAGAAGAGGAGCCTCAAATTAGGTCCCACAAACCGTTAGGGCTGCCTTTTAGCCAAAAACTTCTGTTTTATTTAAAGCAAACTACTTACTTTTAGTAAGAAGCATTAATATATAATGAATATTTGAATTCACTATCAAAATGAGGACTATAAGAAATTACAAACTGTGGAGCAGGATCACTCTTACCATTCCTGATAAAATTCTGTAAACAACAATTTAATTGAGAACACCTGCTGCTTGGCAACACCTTCAGTGTAATTTTGTACTACTAGAACTACAAACCCAACGTCTTCCTTTCTGCCTCTTTGTAAAGCTTCCTCAAAAGAGGGTCTAGCAAGTCAAGAGCTCTGCAATTACATGTGAATATTAATCTTACATTTTAAACACCTAATATTACTATACTCAGTCTCAGAAAGCCTCCTTAGAGCAAGTTTTGTTATACTTAGTACTAGCACAGTTATCAGCACTTCTTGGTGACTTGCTTCTTCAGTGGTAGCTACAGAGAACTTCACTTCGGGATATCTGTGTTCTGAAGCACAAGTGCCACTCTGCTTGGAATGTACACCTAGGAAAAACATGACAAAAACAGCTGAAACACCCAGAAACCTTACAGTACACAACTTCTAAATAACAGCACTTGGAAAAAAAAAAGTAGGTTAACTGTTAAAAATCTGTTGTTTGTGCAGTGTTGTGGGTCGCAAATATAATTTTTAAATAATGCTTAWTGAGTGTTGGTCTCTGGTATTGGACTTACGCAAGATAAAAGTTTAAAAGGCATCCTGATTACAATCTCTTTTCAATTTTCTATTTTTAATAACTTATCATGATAGATTTTAGATGRCTACCAGGAGAGGGTCTCATATGACTTACAGTGACCAGTTTCAAAAACCTGAGGACATGTAGGTCAACAGACCAATCAATAATAAATGACAAACTTTTGTAACTCTTCTGCTGTGAATTACAATTGTCGCGAGGCCTGTGATGTCATTTCATACAGGTAAAGAGCAGCAAAGTGACACAGCAACACATTCTTCACACACTTGGCACCTATGGAATGTCAGCATCTGGGACAATAAAACTCACTCCCAAGACCAGAGAGAATCAAAATGGACCATTTAAATTATTGCATTTTTCTTCCTCTTTTTCCCCTGAATACCATGAAAATAGCCAAACACATATAATCAAAAGACTCCTCATAGATCACAAAAGAACTCATGGCAATGTATTTTACATGACATTCCTTACAAACTGAGCAGAGTCACAATCAGAAAACAAGAGCGATATGTGCTATCTACCAATTACCTTGATACACRGCACTCCATCAATTGTCAGCTCTGTAAATGTGTTTTCTGAACAAGTCAATAAAAATGCAATTATAAAAGGTAACACAAGATTGAAGATTATTGGCTTCATTCTGACAACGTCCTCTTTCAGGCTATCCTTCATCCCTGTGGAATGTCTAATATTCTGCAATTTCAACTACGTTATCTGCTAACTAGAGCCTGATGGCATGAAAGGCTTTCATTGTTTTCAGAAGAGAATAAAGCAATAAAGCAAAGAGCTTTAGGAAAAGGAGAAAGAGGAAAAGAACAGCTGATCTTCATTGAACCAGACAGAGCTGTGTCCAATGCTTCTTGAAAGGCAGCGAGCATAATGATCTCCCCRAAGGTTTCAGTGATAAATAGCTTCTATAAACCTGCGCAGGAGAGGAAACACTTAATGAAGTCAACTGCCTCAAAACACACAGATAAAGGAGAGATTTTGAAGTTGTGTATTGAGAAATTCATYGCTCGGGGTTTGGATGATGAAGTGAGAAGGGAAGAGGAACAAATAGAAGTAAGTTTTCTAAGAAAGAATTTGTAAATTGTTCCTTAGTTAAGGGAATAAAAATTAGCATTAATACAGGACACAACAATWCTCAATTATATTCTGATCAATAATATGTCAGACTTTGGAGGAGTAAATTAGCCCAATTCCTTTAAAGTCAATTTACACCAGCTGAGAATCTGAGAGCAGTGTGGATCATCTCACTCCAACCACTTTACTGACAATCAGAATTTAAAAATTGCTTCAAGCACAATTTCAAAACTTGTGCAGATGATTGTATTTAAGCTAATGAGAGAGATGTTTTTCATTTGCCGTGAAAGATGTATCTGCCAGCTTACCACTTTAGCCATGTGATTTTTCCTTACCTAGGGAAATTAATCCTACATTTTAAGAGTTTTTTATCTTGCTGGGCTACTTAAATCATAGAAAATCATCGCGCTATCTCCTAATCCTATTTCACTGGTCAGTGCAACCACTTTTAAGGCTGTTCACACAAAAAGCAACAATTAAGGCATGAACAATAAAAAAAATATTAATTATTGATTAAACCTATYAATAACTACAAATAAGATTATTAATTATTCATTCCACTGATGTACAAAAAAATACTACACAAGTATTAGATAATACTTGTTACAAATATAAAGGTATTATTCCTTTCCCCAGCCCAACAAGATTTCCAGAAATACTATATTCTGTGTGCTCTGGCTTTAGTACTTGTTTAAATACACAGAACTCAGACTATCTGTGAGATGGACTGGAGGAGAGATCCCTTGTCCTTCCTGCTAAGGTGAAAACTGGAGGATTATTTGCCCAGGATCTCAGTCTGGATTTGTCACCTCCACTCCTTCTCCTGAGACCCTAAATCATAGAGTTTTCTCAGCCTTTCCCCTCCAGTATTATTCCTTTTCCTTCAGCTCCTCCCACCTGAACAACCAGGTGCATTAACATATGCCCATAACACCCTTGCATTAACATATGCCCATTAACTGAAACTTATTTTCTCTGTATTTTCCCTGAGTGTACTGCCAGTACCAAGCCAATGTACCAAGTCACCTGCTCCAAGCATGTATTTCAATCTACCATTGGGTGACACGATTAAAAAAGTCAGGAACCCACTGCTGACAGGATAAGTTGAAATGAAAGCATTTTATGGTACGTTTGAGCCCAGACACTTTCAAATATATAAAAGTAGGGATAATCCTTAACTCCAGATGTGTCTGGATTGGACCTTGAATGTTCACTTGGTCAATAACTCAGTCTAATTCTACAATTGTGCTTTCATCATGCTGGTCACTGCTCAAGACTCCAAACAGCTCCGTCACAATTCCTAAGACTCTCTCCTTGATATGGCTGGACACAGAGCCTCTGATTGCTGAAATTGCAATGGATAGTCAGCTTTTAACCCACCCTTTTAACTCACCTTTCTAACCCACCTTTTTAATCTTATCCAGCCCTGTAGTTCCTGAGCTCCTAGGCAGGAAYGCTGCAGGAGACAAGGCTGAAAGTCTCACTGCACTGACTGGAGGAACCTTGAGCACAAAGCTTGAGGCATTTTATGGAGAAAGGAATCAGGSTGGCCATGTATGGTCTGACTTTGCTAAATCCAGGCTGCCTTTSTGACTGACCCATCTCACATGTCCCACTTGTTTGGATGTAGATTCCAGCAGGAGGTGGCTCTTGACTTCTCAAGGAAATGCCCTACAGACCCCTCAGCCTTCCTTTTCACTTTTGCTACAGCCTTGGCTCAGCAGCCAGAAATTTCCCCTGACCACCGTGATTTTTCTCAAATAATGGTCAACATCATTTCCATCACTGAAATCATACAAGCCTCTGGGTGCATCCAACTTACATACAGCATCTTTAACCTATTGCTCTKCTACTTTATTTTCAGAGGTGCACAATAGGGTCTGAAAACAGGCTTGGTCCCTGGGGTCTGGGCCCAAAAAGGGACATTGAATACTCYTGTATTGTCCATATTGTCCATATTGTCCATCGAAGTTTGAGTCCTCTCTTTATCAAGGGCCTTGCTTTTTTTCTTTTCTTAAGATGCTCTTCCAATCAGCAGATTTGCAGAATCACCTTCTTGCCATTCTTCATTATCTCTAGCTAGTTTATAAATATAGTATACAGCCTGAGATATATATCTACCTATAAATAGATAAGTATACTAAAAATATGTAGAGGTCTCCTGATTAAAACCTTTACAGGAACCCTAGAGTATTCATCAGCAAAAGACATTCTCAGAGATATGWAATTTTTGACTTTTTCCATACCGTAGCAAAGTGTCTCACAAGTTTATTCTTTTATACACTGTTGCTAAATTATATACCTTCAACCAGCTTCAGTTCTATTGATCTCTGTTCTTCTAACCCGCTTTTTCTGATCACAAGTTTTATCCCATTCATGTCTCCTTCACCATTTCCCAAGGCTCACTTGATGAACATGGACAGAAGTGAAAATCCAAAGAACAGAACATTAAAGAGAATTCATTCATAGCTCACCCACATCTTGACTACTATCAATCACATMAAATCAAATCACCCTGAGAGTCTCTCTTCTGTTTCAAGCTTTCTGCTCATCCTGAGCACCCATTTCAGGCATTTCCTCCCCTCCAGGCTCACCCAAACTCCCTACTGAAAGCAGGGTACACTCTGAGGTCAAAGCAGGTGACTCAGGGCTGTAGATCACAGGGAATTGTCCCTCTGCTCTTTACACCAATAATCCTCTAAGGTTCACATAAAATTCACTATTTTAGGAAACCACAAAGGCATCTAAAAGGCTCATGAGGCCTTTTCTGATGGGGCAGCACAACCAGGGGACTGGAAAACTTCAGATCAGTTTGAGACAGGATGACTCAGCTGTAAAGAGTTTTTGACAAAGTTAGCCTTCAMACCTTTAGTCGTAAAATATCACTGAAAGTCCTTTTATTCTCAATTTGGCAGGAATGGAGTAACTGCTGTTATTTCACCAGCAGATGTGCTAACAGAGAGGATGGTGGGGGATAGGAATCTGGTTTATAAGTTAAATACAGTTGTTTTTTTTTGGCACCTTTGCCCTTTTTACACTGCATGTCCATTTAAACTATGAGGCAAGTCCCACACAGATCAAGGCTTCTGGCAGTCAAACAGCATCTCTAGTAAAGAGCCAAAAAAAAAAAAAAAAAAAAAA